ATCTCGGGTTGCAAACTCTCTTGTTGTTTGATTTACTATAAGTTGTGAATCACAAAAAATTATTACCTCATCTGCTTCTCTGCCACTGCTAGCTTTAGTCCTGCAATCAGTGCTTCGTATTCTGCCTCATTGTTTGAGGCCTTGAACCCCAATCGAATAGACTGTTCCAATATCTCCCCATCAGGAGATATTAATACTACCCATGCCCCCGCTCTTTGCCGGTTTGAACTTCCATCGACAAACAGGCGAAAGGAGTCGCCGATGTAAATGCTGCAGGGTCTGAGTTTTTCCTTTCCTTGTTCTTTTGCCTTTGGCTGGGCTTCTCCTTGTTTGCTTGGACATTGTTCGTCTTGGCTCAACGGAGCCCGATGTTCGATGGATTCTGGCGTGAATTCAGCCACGAAGTCGGCCAAAACTTGGCCCTTAATTGCTGTTCTCGGTCTGAACTCCAGGTCATACTGGCCCAAGGCCACTGCCCATTTTGCTATTCTTCCAGTTAAGTCTCCTTGTTGCAACAAGGACTTCAGTGGGTACTCTGTTAGCACTATAATCTTGTGCGCTTGAAAGTAATGGTTCAGCTTCTTTGAAGCCATTACTAAGGCCAACATTAATTTCTCTAGTGGTAGGTACCTTGTTTCTGCATCAGCTAAGGTTTTACTTACATAGTAAACAGCCTTTTGCTCCTCCTTTTTCCTTTCGGATTAGTACTGCACTTACTGCGTGTTCTGAAACTGCCAAATACAAAAACAGTTCTTCACCAGGTTCAGGTGTTGAGAGGACTGGAGCCGTGGTCAGATACTTCTCTAGGTCGGCCAAGGCGGCCTCACATTCCTCAGTCCATAGGAAGTCTGTGGCCTTCTTTACCAGGTTGAAGAAAGGTTTACATTTGTCTGAGCTTCGGCTTATGAACCTGTTTAGGGCTGCGGTCCTTTCAGTAAGCATCTGAACCTGTTTTGCCGACGTCGGGCTTTTTAGCTCTAGGATGGCCTTGATTTGATCTGGACTGGCCTCAATGCCCTTTCTTGTTACCAGGTACCCCAAAAATTTACCTGATCCAATTCCAAACGCGCACTTCGATGCGTTGAGTCAGAGCCGGTATGTTTTGAGTATATCAAAGACCTTTTTTAGGTCGGCAGGATGGCCTTCAGGTTCCTTGGTCTTTACGACCATGTCGTCGATGTAGACTTCTACTGTTTGGCCAATCAGGTTTTTGAACATCTTGGTTACCAACCTTTGGTAAGTTGCTCCTGCGTTTTTCAACCCAAAAGGCATTACCTTGTAACAATATAGTCCTTTCTAGGTGATAAACGCTGTCTTCTCCTCGTCTGGGGGGTACATGGCTATCTGGTGGTATCCTCTGTAAGCATCCAGGAAGCTCATCCTTCCATGTCCAGATGTGGTGTCTACCAACTGGTTAATCTTGGGTAGAGGAAAGCTGTCTTTGGGACAAGCTTTGTTCAGACTTGTAAAATCTTCGCAGACCCTCCATTTACCATTCTTCTTCTTTACCACTATGTTGGATAGCCATGTTGGGTAATGAACTTCTCGAATGGCCCTAGCCTCCAGAAGTCTGTCCACTTCTTCCTCTACTACTTCGACGTTCATCAATGTCGGTCTTTTAGCTCGTTGAATCACAGGTTTTGCCGACCTGTCGACATTCAGTCTATGGCAAGTGACCTCGGGGTCAATGCCAGGTATTTCGTAAGGTGTGCAGGCGAAACCTCAATGTTGGCTCTTAGAAAAGTCTCCAACTCTTTTTCCTCTTCTTCGGCTAAGCCCGAGCTGAGAAGAAAGAAGCGTTCTTCATCCCCATCCTGGACGAGGATTTTCTTTAGCGCCTCTTCGCTTTTCTCGGCTGGTTCTTTGTCGACGTCTTCTAGGACTTCCATGTCCTCATCTTCAATTTCTGCCTTTTCTGGTTCTCGAATGTTGCAGGTGGATTTCATTGCTGCCATGGAGCAATTCTTTGTCTGCAGTTGATCTTCTTTGACTTCTTCAATCCCATGCTCTATGGGGAACCGTAGTAGTTGATGCATTGTTGAGGAAACTGCCCCCATTGCATGCAACCATGGCCTTCCCAAGATGATGTTGTATGGTGAAGGTGTGTTAATCACCATGAATTCTGTCCTGATCTTCTTAGTGCCAGCTTGCACTTCCAAGCTTATTGCGCCCAGTGGCCACGTCGGTGTTCTATTGAAGCTGACCATTGGGCCATTGGATTGCTCCAAGTCATCAGGATGAAGGCCCAACTCTTTGTAACATCTGACATACATGATGTCACAAGAGCTGCCTTGATCAATCAGGATGCGTTCCACCTGGCACTCCCTAACCTGGAGGGATACTACCAAGGCATCATTATGTGGATGCTGGACCATCTCTAGGTCGGCTTCAGTAAAGGCTATCATCGGTCCCTGGTATTCTTCAGGCCGAGGTCTTTTATGTCCGACCTGGTTCACGTGCTGTAGGTGTTTTACCCTCTGGGTCTCCCCTCGAATGTCGTTTTCGTTCACCTTTGAGTGAATTACGTTAACCACCCGTGGTCCTCCTGCGGGTGGTTGCTGTGCTGGGGGAGGCGGAGCTGCTGGTGCTTGAGGCAATCTTGCCTGTTCTTCTCTAGTCCTGGCCTCATTAACAAGGTCCCTCAGAGGTCCTTGCCTTACCAAGTCTTCTAAGTGTGCTTTTAGGGCTCTGCAGCCCTGAGTTGGGTGCCCTTCTTCATTGTGGTAAGCACAACGCCTACCGACGTTTCTTCCCAAGAATTCCCCTGGTGTTCTTGTCGGTCCTCTAAAATAGGGTTGGTTTCGTATTTGATCTAGGACTTTGTGGATCGGAACTCGGAATATAGTCGTTACTGCCTGTTTCGCCTTCAAGTCCGTTTCTTGTTTGGTCGGTCCGTTGTTACCTCGGCTTCGCTTCGGCGAGCCGTTTCCTTTCTCTTGTTTTGTTTATTTATTTCTCGACGTATCCTCCTCGGCTCTGGCGTACTTCTCTATTCTCGCCATGAGTTCTTCCATGCTTTTTGGCAATGTCTTTGCCAAAGATTTCCGTATTGGTCAGTCATCTTTCAGGCCGTTCTTGAAGGACACGACTGCCACCTCTTGGTTACAATCGGGTATTCGATTGAACACCTCGTAGTACCTTTTTGCGTAGGCCCTAAGGCCTTCATCCTTGGCGATCTTTAAAGCCATCAGTGCGTCGACCCTCAAGGGCTGAAGTTTATTTGTTACAAACCTGGCCACAAAAATCTCGGCCAGGCCTTCTCAAGTCTTTACACTTCCCTTCGGTAGTTTATGGAACCAATCTGATGCAATTTCCCCGAAGGATGAGGGGAATACTTTGCAGAGCAACGACTCGTTCCCACTATACAATGCCATTGAATTCAGGTACAGTCCAACATGAAAGTTGGGATCTGACTTACCATCATATATTTGGAACCTCGGCATACTGAATCTCTTTGGTGCTTCAAATTTGTCCAGTTCCACCGAGAATGGTGTCCTCGGCTTAACCGGGGATGTTGGCTTCAGCATTCTGTTGTTTCCTCTTGAGGTAATCTCTCAAGTCTTCTTTACTTCTCCCTGGAGCTCGGCTATCTTTGGACTTCAATCTTTTCGGCACACTACTCTCAGCCTCGTGGTGGGCTCGTTTTGATCTCTCTCCATGTGTTGTGTCGAAGCAGAGCGTCTGCCCTTGAACATGCCGATGTTCTTTGGGCTCTGGGTCTTTTGTGTGATACGTTCTTCGGGACTCCTCTCGTCTCGGCTTCTCTCGTCCGACTTCCCTGGAAGGTCGGTGAGAGTGCCTTCCGCTCCTGGTGTGTTGAGGGACTGTGGGGATTGTTCTTCTTCTTCTCTTCTGGGTATTAGTTGCTGGCATCGGCGCATCCTGCAGCGGGTATGGTGGCTGCATGACATTGTTTTGCATCATGAAGTTGACGACCGACTGTAGGTCTGCCAACTTGTTTGCCAAGTCTTTTACTTCCTCATCCCTCCGTAGGCACCTATCCCTCCATACCTAAAGGTTATCTTCGTTATAGTACTTGCTTTGGTCTGTCCTCTTCGAAGTGTCTCCCTCCTGGCCGACGTCTTTCTCTCTGTGGCCCTGGTCATGAGTTTTTGCATTGTGGTTGTCTCCTTCAACGTCAAGGTCAATTGGTCTGCCACTCCCAACAGGAGTGTCGCCCCCAATGTTTTCCTTCTATTCGTTACTGGCCATCTATTCTTCTAAGTTCCCACAGACGGCGCCAAATTGTGTGGGTGATTTTCTGACCACACTGCCCGCCTAGTAATCAGTTAGAGAGTACCGGCAGAATAGATGGCTTCAGCTAACCTGTAACAGAAAGAAAAGGCTCCGGCGGTGGCTCTTCCACCCGGGGGCACTCCGACGATCAAGTCAGTATATCTCTCAAAGATAATCAAGTGCTAAACTCACTACTCAAAGCATAAAACTGCGTACCTTATACCCACGGAGGTGCCACTCTTTTATAGTTCACTTAATCCTAGTCCCATTAGAAGCCTGACTTCTATGGATTCCAACTCAGTATTTACTTTGGACTCTAGAAGAGATAAAGATAAACTCCCTGAGAGATTTATCCTTATCTTGACTAAGTCTCCTCTTTATCCTAGGACTCTGGTCCCTTATCCGTTTATCTCGGATTTTGATATCTTCGGAGATAACCTCGGCTTTGCCGAGATCACCTCAGTGTCTCGACCAGGACACGTGACACTTCGGCTGAAACGTCAGCTTCACCTTGCCACGTGTTGGTACTCAGAAAATATATCCCCACACAAAATTAATGAAATATACACGTTTGATCTATTTGGATTTTTTTTGTTTTTGTTTTTAATTTTGTGTTTTTTTTTTTTTCTTTTTTAAATTTTTTATGGATAGGATACCAAAGTCCTTATCTTATCCCATGCGATGCCAAAAAGGCAATTTTCACTGATTTCATGAAGCAAAAAAATAAAAATGCACCTAAAAAAAAAAAAAAAACGACATTAATCTAACAGAAAAAGTAGAGTTCCATTCAGACAGACATTTGAACTCAAAACATACATATATAACCTCCTAACTTTATACAAACATAGCCAAACAAACACCAAATGACCATGAAACCATGTCCACTTTATTTATAAGAAAAACACTTAAAAAAACCTTCATAATTTAAAGAAGCCTCATACCCACAAGCACAGAGATGTTATACATATATAAATACATATTACATATGTATTTAGATTATTGTTGAGAGAGAATCATCTTCTCATCTCTAGCTTTGTAGAAGGCTAGTAGTGGTTAGGAAGTTGTCATTTGTTCATTTGCAAGTGCAAGGGTCACAGCTGCAGTTGGCTCCACATTTGCAGCCATTCTCAGCTCCCACACCCATCTCAGATCCCTCAAAGTGTCTGCACATAAAATTAGAAATATATATCAGATATCTATGTAACTCCCATTTAGCTAAAAAAAAAAATTTGCAATGGAAATTAATTTTGCAAAAACAAGTGTTATTAACAAAATTAGATTGTAGAATATAGGATATTTTTTACTGGCCTGGCACAAAAACCAATTATAGAATCGGACATGACCTTTTAACATGAGTGTAGAACTTAAAAAAACTCAGATCCACATTATGTGAGAAGTTGTGTAAGTCCCATGATAGATTTTTGCATTCTTAAGACTTTTAAATTGGATAAATGAAAAATTAGAGAAATAATTATAAATTAATAAAGTACAAGTGAGATGAGCCATTGGAACACAATTTTCACTTGCAATACAATGATTTACAATTCGTTTTCTTATTGTTTATTTATCTGGTGTTTAAGAGTTGGGTACATATCTACACACCAAAAAAATAAAAAATAATAAATAATAAATAAAAATAAAAATAAGGTGTAAAAGATTTGGGTATAATGTTTTTTTCCAGATCAATGATGAAGATCGAAAAAAAAATTACAAATTCATGGAGATACAAACTCACTTGCACTCCATAAAATGCAATTACTTTTCCGTCTTTACAATTAATATACAAAACATGTCTATTCTATTATGTAAAACGTACATCATACCTGATACCAACACTTTTTTATTATTCTCAAAATGCTCTTCATATTCAATAGCAGCTAATTTTATCATTAGGCCTCGTTTCGGAACAAGTTTTTTTAGTAATTTTTTGATTTTTTCGGTAAAATGTGATGTAAAAAAAATTAGTATATTTGTGATGACTTTTGACTTTTTACGAAATGATGTACAAAAAGTAGAGATAAAAGAATTTTTTTGTCTTTTTGGTATGGGTTGTTAACTTTTTGATTTTTTTAGTAACTTTTTAACTTTTTGACTAAAAATGACAGTTGCCAAACGAGGCCTTAATATCTTTCTAAATTTCAAGAATGCCTCCCATATTCAATAATTGTCATATCCAATAATAACTAAAAAAATTTCTTACTAGTCAAACTACCTTAAACTACTATATATTTTTCTAATTTATCAAACGAATTATCTAAAAATTTTAAAATTACAAAGATCACACACACACACATATATATATATATAGTGAATTGAAATTGACAAAAAATTAATATTTTAATTATTAAATTAAAAAATATATATTTTAAATATTTTAATATATACCTACGTCAAGTTAAATGATTAAATGCTATTGTTTACTTAACGAAAATAAATAGATGATTTAGATTAAAAATAAATAAAAAATTCAGTTTAGTGCCTCCGTTTGGCAAGTTGGTTTCTAGATTTTTTTGGTTATTTTAGTCACAAAAGACAAAATAGGCTATTTTAACCACAAAAAACAAAACATCACATCCAATCCATAATCATTACACTGTTCTCTCACAAAAAAAGCTAAAAAAACCAAAAAGCCCTTCTCAAACCAAGTTTTTTAGCCCAGGTTAAAATAGCTAAAAAAAGTCAAAAAATCAAAACGCCAACCTCCTTCCCAAACGAAACCACAAAATTAATATTGTTACAATAGTCAAATCATTGGTGTTCTTTTTTTTAAACCAAAATATATTAATACAAACTGTAATGATACAAATTAAAATAAAATTGCTCTATAATATTATGGTCTGTGTTGGAGCGATAGTCAAATAACAATACAAAAACATAAAACAAACTAACAAACGCTCACCATCTAAAAATTAAAAAATTAAAAAAAAAAACTATCTAAGGCTCTGTTTGGATGCATAATTTAAGAAAGGATTTGTAAAAAATAAAAAATAAAAATTGTTTGGATCAAAAATTTAACTAAGGATTTGCAAAAAGAAACTAGAAGAAAAGAGAATTCACTTTTCTTTTCTTTGCTTTTTACTTCTCTCTCTCTCTTCTTCACAAATATTTTTTTCTTTCTTCCATAAATCCCTCTTAAATCCTTGATCCAAACCAAAAGCACAGCTTAATTGTCTATGAAATATCTGTTTGCTTTCATTTTTAAAACCTATTTTTTCCACTTTTTGACAAAAATAAGTATTAAAAAAATATTTATGGTTGTCTTGGAGAAGGACTATTTTAATTGATTATTATTATTATTTTTTCAAAAGGGGAGAATTATAGGCTGGTGAAAGTTGGAGCGTGGTATTTTTTTTTTTAATAAAAATTGAGAATTTTAAAGAGAATCCAATGATGTGATAAAAAAATGAAACTCATATATGATGTGATGTGCGTTTATATTATTTTTTTTCACTTTAATTTTTTTTTTCAATTCCTAACTGTTTGTAATTTAAAAAAAAAGTATAAAAAATAAATAAAAGAGTTGACTATTTAGTAGTAATTTTTTTTTGATTAAAATATTATATTGCCAAAACACTCCTGAGGTTAATTACACTAACCCTTCCTAAATTGTTAGTAAATATCAATTTATTCTTTATCTATGAATTCGTACATTTTAACCCTTCAATTCTATATATCGTCGCCAACCACCTCCAAAAAAGTCATATTTGTACGGTTTTAAAATTGACAAGTTAATATGTACGAATTTATAGATGAAGAATTAAAATAATATTAATAAATAATTGAGGAAATCTTGGTAATTAACCCAAAAGATTTTCGAAGTTTCGTTCTTTTGTCAAAATATACAACATGCCCATGTTCTAATTAAAGAACGAAAGTACTAAATTTTAACAAGGAAAAACTTTCCTGCCGGGAAAATTTTCAAGACAGAACAATCTAGGGAAACAAACAGAGATCAAAATGAAAACAAAGTCCTACCCTCGACAGCCGTTGCCGCACTTGCAGCCACCGCTGCAGCCACAGTTTCCTCCGCAGCAAGACATTTTCTAGGGAAAAAGTTGGGAGAGAAAGTGCTAAGAAAAGAGAGGTGCAAAGCAATGAATGCAGACAACAAGAAAAGCTCTCAAGAGTTGAACGAGTAGTAGGGAATGAGCCCATGACCCCAATTTATAGTGGTTGTAGTGGAAGGAAGGACAGAGAATGGATGCTATCAACCGTACACGTTTCTTGATATGACGTAATGTTGATCTCCTACGTTCCTCTCCCATGCGCCCACGTCCTTGCCTTTTTTCTATGGTTGTAATCTGTCTTCTTCTTCTAGTTGAAAAATTATGAAAAAATTATAAAAAGTATCCTAAATTTGAACATTGTAATAAATAGGAGAGGTTTTACTTTATAATACTATTACTCTGAGTTGACACCATTCATTTAATTCACACGACACACATTTTTATTTATTTATTATTTTTCTCAATTGACACCTCATAATCTCACATAATTCTTAAATTACTCTTATCATCAACATTTTAATCATAATTCTAACCATAATCGTAACCCATCAATCATCACCGCAACCACCAATAACCATCGCCTTCTCTAGCGCTACTCTTCCTCTAGCTAGCCCACCATAGCCCCTTCTTTCATGTCGTCTTCACTGCCATCACTGGCAGTCCTCGTAACTCCAAACCCCTTATCCTGTCCTCTCCAACTTTGAACCCCACACACTCTTTGCAAATTGCGATCAGTCACTTGACTAGCTTTGACTATCCCTTACTCTATAACCATTGCCTTTGCAGTTTTCAGTATGATCCCCCCATCACTGCTTTCTGAAACCCTAGATCGCGAGTTGTAACTAATGGCAATGATGGCAGCAGCGACAGACAAAAAGAAGAGGAGGGAAAGTGACAACAGGAAAGACGACTTTGTAATGATGGTGGCTTCATAGTGTTGCTGATTGGTGGTGGTTGGCTGACCAATGAAGGTGGCTGGTAGTGGTGGCTATCAATAGGGTTAGGGTTTCTGAATGAGGGGTATGAATTAGAGATGATGGTATTTTGGATATTTGATTGAAGGATAAAATTGTAGTTAAAAAATTATGAATGATGGTGTGAAGTAAGAGTATGTGGGGTGTGCAAATAGAATTTCTCAATAAATAAAATATGAATATTTAATCTCAAAAACTATATTCGTAATTTATCCAAAAATTGAACTCCCAAAATTTTTGTATTTTTTTTGCATCTAACAAACAGTATTCATACTTGAGGGTTGAAGGGGACAACAAGAGAGTGATCTAGTCGCGTGTCTCGGAAGATGTTCCCTAAGGCACCGTTTGGGAAGAAGGTTTCCAGGCTTTTTTGGCTATTTTAGTCACAAAAAATAAAATAGGCTATTTTAGCTATAACAAACAAAACATCACATCCAATCCATAATCATTACACTATTCTCTCACAAAAAAAAGCAAAAAAAGTCATTACCAAACCAAGCTTTTTAGCCTAGACTAAAATAGTTAAAAAAGTCAAAAAACTAAAAAGCCAACCCACTTCCCAAACGGTGACAGATTTAGGAATGTGGCATAGGGATACTATACTTTCTAATTATCCTTAAATTTTTAGAAAAATTATAAATTAGTGTAGAAGATCAAAAATAATTATAAACACGTGGGTGAAAATTTTTTATTACATCTGATTAGAATATATGTTCTAGAATTTTTTAATTTTTTTTCTTACGAAATAGATTAAAAGAAACATACCCAAAAAAATAAAAATTTCAATATTCAATTTTTTTTTTAAAGATTAAAGAAAATTGAAGAGATTACAAACTATGACGAGAGAATGGGTGAGGAATACAAAAGTATCAATGTGTTCGAGATAGAGTTCACTAAAATTGATTTATTAACATAAAATTCATATAAAAAAATTCATCAGAATGATGTGCCAATAACATTTGTAAAATTACAAAGACAATAGTGGATGGTTTGATTGAAAATGAAGGAACCACAAGATAACTTATTACATAGATTTTTTGTACAAACATTTTGTTTAGATATCATTATTTTTTTTGTTAAAACATCATATAAGGGTTCTCTTTGAAAAATAAAAAATATTAGGTACCTTAAAATAATTTAGGAGAGGCACTAGTATAATTTTACAAGGGATATATTGGAGACACTCTTAATATTCATGTGTATTAGTATAATTTTCAAAAAAATGAGGGGGTCACGTGCCCCTTGATCCTTCATTACATCCATCTCTGATGTTATTCTTGAAGATATCAAATTTATGGCATATCAAGGGAGGAGGGACTTGTCCTTTAAACGGTGCCGCATAGTAGCTAACGGGGTTGTCCATTGGACTCCTCGTGCTTATCTAAAGCTAATTCATCACCTTTGGATTGGGTATCCCAACCTTCTTCGATTCTTGTTGGGTGTTTTTCTTTCAATTCATTGTAATTGGAGTTTTTTTTGTTTTTTAAATAAAAATAAATAAAAAATACTCAAGGTTTGCGTGTCTTCTGGCATCTTCTTTCGTTTGGCAAAATGCAAAAAATATCTAAACGAATGGTCTATGATTGTTGATGAAATTTCTTGTAATTTGAATCATTATTGACCCTACTAATAAGGTGCAGTAATGTGCAAGGGTTCTATCAAATTGATGCTTTTGGTTGTCAATAGGCGTGTGTTGGGTCGGTTTGGATGGTTCTGGATGGTTCAGGAAAAATAATTTTAATTAAATTGCTTCAGGAGTGTAAGAGGCCTCGAATTTGAGGCCTCGAATTTGCTCAAAAGCGCTTTTTTTTTTTTGACTTTGTGTGCTATTTTTTTTTGTTTATTTTGTTTTTTTTAGGATGGTTATGTGTAGGGATGTACCAAAAAAATTAGATATTTAATACCAGCTCGTCGTATACAATTATATAAAATTAGCAAACTGACTAGTCAATTTTATCACTCAACCAGTCCAACCTAATTGATTGATTAGTTAGCCTATTAGTTAAATTTATTAATTCCATATAATTTTGTACGATGAGTTGGTGCGAGATGTCTAGTTTTTTGGCACACTTCTACATATGACAATCTTTAAAAAAAAAAAAAAACCAAACTAACACAGCCCAACAAATAAAATAAAATTAAATTAAAAAAATTAATCAGTCAATTGTATCATCCAATCAGTCCAACTCAACTCACTTGCAGAATGTTTAATTTTTTAGCACATTCCTATACATAAACTCCCCTTGCAAAAAAAAAAAAAAAAAAAAACGAAGAAGAAGTGGGATTCGAGGCAAATTCGAGGCCTCAGATTCGAGGCCTCAGGCATTTTCCATTTTCAATTTGTTTCCAACTCGCAGGACTTTAAAATTGGCAGTTTGATTTGAATATTTTAATTGTTTTGAACCAATAGAATAGGCGAGTTGTAAATTTTAACTTATAAATTTGATGTAATTGTGAAACTCTAAAATAAAATAAAAATAAGTAAGGATTTTTTTTTTTATCAATTGTTAGGCATTTTCCATTTTCAATTTGTTTCCAACTCGCAGGACTTTAAAATTGGCAGTTTGATTTGAATATTTTAATTGTTTTGAACCAATAGAATAGGCGAGTTGTAAATTTTAACTTATAAATTTAATGTAATTGTGAAACTCTAAAATAAAATAAAAATAAGTAAGGATTTTTTTTTTATCAATTGTTTTTATTATTGCAAAACCGATAAAAGATTGAATCAATCTAATACCCACAAGATCTCAAAAACAGTTAAATAATCTCCAGAAAATGAAGGATACAAGAGGAGAAAAAGCCCCCACAATGGAGGGAGATAAATCTCCATAGGAATGATTATCATATCAACAAACTAAAAATTAAGAAAATCAAACAGGGAAAAAAAAAACACTAGATCTAAGTCGTCACTAAACTCATCCAAAACTCCACTGATACGCAACCTTTAACTTGGAATTTGAGGATACCATTTTTTCTGGTCAAGATAAGACATTAAAGTTGAGGCGGTTATCTAACATGAAACAAACACGTTATCTAACTTTCAGACTGTGAAAATATATGAAATTAAATCTTAAAGTTTTTGGCTCAATGGTGGAGAAGGTAAGATGGTAATGGTCGAACTAGTGAGGCAAAATATTAGATCTAGGTTAAGGACCAGATTTAGAGAAGAATTGGGTGAAGGGGAAGGGAGAGGATAGGGAGATCAGAGAGGTGGGAAAATCACCACTGTCTCCCTCTCTCCTAGCAGGAAATTTCAGAGAGAAAAATAAGAGGAATTTTTAGGATTTTCATCGAATATTTACAAATAGACTTGTTTCAATGAATGCTTGTCAGTCATTCTTTCAAAAACAAATGTGATCTAGTAATGTGACTATGAATGTCCCACTAAACTAATTTTTTCATTGACAATCTACAAAACGGGACTACAAGTTGTACAACTTGGATTGTTAAAAGAGGCTCAAGATGGATCTTCCTAAGCATCAGAACAACCATTTCCCCAAGTGCAAATAAGATAAAATCTCATGTTCAAGTCAATGAAATAGCATATCAACATACTTTATAGTAATTTAACTTCTAGTTTGTTTTTTTCATGTTGATCATCTCAATTTGATAGAGCGTTTGGGTTTTGTAGGCCAATTTTAAGATTGTTTTTGATGATGTGAATTGTTCACTTTTTAAGATTCGTTGAGTAGAATATATACGAAAAAATTAAGATGATTAGAAATCAGTAGCTATATGTTTAAATCAAATTTGTATTATAAAAAAAGATAACTATTTTTGATATTATATTTGTCGTTCATTTTTTTTTAAAAATAAATAAATATGATTAAAACATATAGATGTCCAATCATCTAAATTTTTAGCATATATATTCTACTCAAAAAGTCCTAGAAAATAAACAGTTTGTGTACGAGCACGAAATAACGTTCCCATATAATCATTTTGATCAAGTCTGCGCTCTTCCAAACGTCGTCGCCTTACTCCCTGAAAACACAAACGTGAGTTAGCCGGCGGGTGTGTGCCGGATAGCTCGATGCCTAAGTCAGCAAAATAGACAAATAGACAAAAGTTCTGCGTATTCGGGAATCAAAGTTGTGTGTTACCTGTACATAGGTTCTGTTGTGAGCTTTTATAGCTTTTGCCTGGCACAATCCT